CAAAACATGGAGAGATTTATTCACATCTACAAATCTCATTAATCATTGTGTCACAGCTTTGGAAATATCCAAAATCTCCCAACTTTTGTTGGATACATCACTTTTTATAGGATTTCATCTCAGTTGATGTGTATGTTGGTGTGGCATCATTTAATTCCATTTACACAATTATCCTGGCACAATTCATACTATATGTATATTCCATTTTCCAGGGATCAAAAACGTCTGGCTCCATTTCAAGAAGGTCGACTAACATTTAGTCAAGTTGTTTCCTTATCCACTTCTGGCTCCTTTTGGCTCCAGTTGGTCCCTGCAAAATTTCTTTCCCAGCTAAAGTGACCTGAATCTGTACCATAACATTTTCCTTGCACAACAGCATTACAAAAACATTTCTCTAACAATCAGCAGGTAAAGGTCAGAGGTCAAAGCTCTAGCTCCAGGTTATGTTGTCTCCACAGAGGGTACACCCATCTGGCTCACAGTTTTCCTGGTGCTGCTGGTTCTCCTGGTTCTTGGATTGTCTGGAGGTGCTTTATTTCATTTCCGCCACTATTTCATACCAGGTAAGTTTGAACTTCTACAAAATATCAGATGTCTTATTAGAATCTCTTTCTAATAAGATATTATAATAGAGATTCTAAGACTAGGACCAAGAACTAGGAAGAAGACTAGTTCTTGGTCCTAGTCTTCTTCCTTTTAAAAACGGCCAAAGCCTTCATTTGTTGTTTCTTGTTCATGGCACTTATTTTGAATTGTTAAGATGATATACAAAACATATAATAAATAACTCAGCAAAGCCTTACTTGCCCTTTGATTTAAAACTGTTGTGTTGGAGTAGAGAACCATAAAGTCTGGAAGTCCAGCTCCAAACTCATGATGGAGCGGACAGTCAGTTCTTTACACTCAGGATTCTCATGTGTAGTTTGTAGGTCATAAAGTGTGAAGACCTCCAGGTCCAGGTGTACTTGAATCCCAGTAGCTCTTCAACCTGGGGTGTGGACATGAAGAGTCTACATGAATGTCAAAATCAGAATATAATGAACATATCAGTGTTAATAATTGATCATAATGACCTGTTGGGCGACATGGAACAAACAGATATCAGGATTTTCACCTGAGAAGAGAAACAACCGGACAGAACATATAACCATAGCAGCTAAAGCTAAGCTAGCAACCGCTTACCACACCAGAGGGAGAGAATAGTGAAACATGAAGAATTTCTAAACATAAAGCAACAGAAAATGTGTTTTAACTGGCCCAGTAAATGCCTTTTGCTCAGCATTTATAACCATTTATTAATCAACAATTTCTGAATCCTGCGTTGTCTCTCAGTCAAACAGGTAAAGGTGGATTCAGAAGCAAAGTCTGTCCGGCTGCCCTGCAGAGCCAGACCTTTCCAGCCCAGAGATGTTAGAGTGGAGTGGACAAACAACAAAAACTGGACGGTCTATCTGTATAACTACGGTTCTGATCAGCCTGAAAAACGGCATTTCCTCTACAGAAACAAAACCAGCATGGATAAAAACCTACTGAGAATTGGAGACCTCAGTCTGACTCTGAGATGGCCCACTGATAGAGACAGTACGATCTACACCTGCAGCGTCACCAACAGGGCCGGAAAGATCCTGATGAAGAAACAAGTTCAGCTCCATGTCAGCAGTGAGTTCAGTGAGATTTAAATGATATTTAAAATGACTGCAGCCTGGCTGTTGATGCGGGTTAAAGGTCAACCTGCAAATGTAAATATAGACATGCAGCTCAACCTGTCCTTATTTCTAAAATGCTTTACATCCAGGATTAAAAAACACATTTTTAAAAATATCAGTTTTATATGTGATAATGTAAAATAATGACATGTAGAACAATTAAAAAGAGAAAAACAGATAAAGATATGAATGAAGAGAAACATATAAATACAGTGCACAGAAGATGAAGAAAGAACATTTTTAAGTTGTTTTTTTCTTTAGGAATGTTTTGTCCAATATGTAGACATATTCATCTTGGAAAAGTCTAGAATTGTGCCCCCAAAGAAATCATAAAAGAAACATTTGTATTTTAACAATATCGATATAAAAAGGCAAAAGAAACAAATAAATAAATAAATTTTTCATCTAAGAAAAAAATAAGGATGATCTTTTTTAGATCCAGTGTGGATCCTTTAAAACTATAAAATAAAATCTGAATATTTTTCTATAAAATCCCTGGTGCTTTGAGCATTAATTTTAAGTTATGATACTTCCCAGATATTCATATCAGTCTACTTGTTGGTTCTCAGCCATCCAGGACGTGGCAAAACTAAAAAACGGTTTTAAAATAAAGCAACTTAAGTTACAACATAAATAAGACATAACTTGCATTGACAGCCACCACAATAAGTCAATATTTATGAGGAATTTAATTAAGTGGAGTCACTCATTAAAACTTTTTATTTAGAGCCTTAAATTTTTGTAAAGGTGTAGCAGAGATTAGATCTGTGACTCTGAACCAAACTCATATCTAAACATTTGAGTTTTAGTTGGACTTGTATGGGTCTACTGAGAAAAACATACATTTGATTTAATTTTTGTTCATGCAGCTTGAACACATTAAAAACTTTTTAAACCACATATATTACTTTGCCAACCCCCGTACCCCCACCCACCACCACCCAAAAATTGTGCTTAAAAATTTCTCTGTTTATGTCCCCCCCAATAATAAATTGGGATTTCCTCCACTGGACATATTCAAGACATGTTGAAATACTTCTTCAATAACTAAAGAATAATCATAAAAATTTATGGTCCGTACATTAAACACCATAATCAATGTTCTACAGAGAGACTAATGTATTAAAAAGAAAACCTTGGTGCACCGACTGCAGTTTTCTGGCTGATCACTGATCTTTAAAAAGCCTGACATAGCTATGTGTTTTTGTGCTAATAGTAGCCTAGCTCTCTGCTGCACTACAGCCTTCCCTTCTCCACCTGTCAGGACACAATGACAGTTTAGCAAATATGTAAAAAAAAAAAAAAAAAAAAAAACAAACATTTTTTTAAAAATATTTGTTGTCAATTTTTAAAATATTC